AGATTTGTTTTTTTCCATATAGATATCTAGTTGTTCTAACACAAATTATTGAAAAACTTTACCTTCCCCACTGAATTATCTTGGAACCTTTGTTGAAAAAAAAAATAGTTGACCACATATATTTAGACCTATTTCTGTACTCTCCATTCAGCTTCATTGATCTGTGTGTTTGTCTCTATGCTAATATCACACTATCCTGATTATTGTAGCTTTATACTGTCTTGAAATCAAATACTGTAAGTCTTCAAACTTTGGGGTTTTTTCAAATTCTTTTGGCCATTTTATGTACCCAAAATCAGTTTATCAAATCCCTGTGAGAAATTCCTTCTAGAATTTTGATTCAGATTGCAGTTGACTCTTGGCAAGAATTGATATCTTAATGATATTGAATCTTTCAATCCATGAACATGGTATGCTTACCATTTTCTGAGATCACCTTTAATTTTTCACAGCAGAGTTTTGTATTATCAGTGTATAGGTCTTGTAGATATTTTGTTGAATTTTCCCCTAAGTAATTGTTCGATGCAATTGTAAATAGTTTTTTTAAATTATATTGTCTAGTTGTTCATTGCAAGTATATAGAAATATAATCAGTTTTTGTATATTGGCCATGTATCTTGCAACCTTGCTAATAAACTCACTTGTTAGTTTTATTAGTTTTTGGTAGAGTTCTTAAGATTTTTCCAAATACATGGTCATATCATCTACAGATGAGACCCTTTTATATATTCCTCTCTAGTTCCTGTGCCTTTTATTTCCTTATATTGATTTATTGCACTGGCTAAGACTTCTAGTACAGTGTTGAATAGAAGTGATGAGAGTAGACATCCTTGCCTTGTTCCCGATTAGAGAGAAAAGTATCCTTTATCATTGTGATGTTAGCTGTAGGTTTTACATAAATGCCTTTTATTATTAGGTTGAGGAAGTTTTCAGATTTTCAAAATTTTTCATAAATGAATTTGTCGAATGGTTTTTCTGCATGATTATATAATTTTTAACCTTTATTCTGTTGACATGGCAAATTACTTTGTTTCTTAGATGCTGAAAAGGCTTGCATCTTTGAGATAAACCTCACTTGGTTATGATGCATCATTGCTAGGTTTGATTTGCTAATATTTTGGATGTTTCTAACAGTGGACTGCCCAGATGAGCAAATAGGCTGTACTGTCCAAATAAGGTATTTGGAACAAGTTTGAGCACATTCTACAGATAAGTGATGTCTTAGTAAAGCCTGTAGTACACTGACAAATAATTTCACCTTCTGTTTTACTTGTCCTTTGAAGTCTCCTGCCATCAGAGACAGTATATGCATATGTAGGGCAACATAATGAGGTATGAATTTCAGAATAAACAGTGAGTTCCTTGATGGCAGGGAATTTATCTCATTCATTTCTACCAGGAGAAGATTAAATTCAAGTGGTGTTACAGAGGTCCAAAATCACAGTGGTTTATACAGAATGGAAATTTCTTTTTCTCTCACAGGCCTGGTACTACTATCAGCCACAAAAGTCCTCATAGACCTAGTCTTCTAGCTCACTGCTCTACCAACCCTAGGATGTGACCTTACTTATTCTCGTGGTCTAAGGGGGCTGCATCTGCATTCCTACAGGAGCAGAGTGAGGGAAGGGATGAAGGAGTAGGAGCAGGGTGTATGCCAGCTGAGTTTTAAGGAAGATACCAGAAGCTGCCCTGAGAGACTTCCACATATATGTACCACTGACTAGAACTTAGTCATGTGGTAATAGCAAGGCGTGGGTTTTGAGGCAAGGGTTGTGGAAAATAAGCAGTCATTCTCTGTCTGTTGGAAAATCTAATAGTTTTTTTTCACTTACATGGTTTTTCTGAAAGTTCCTGAAACAAAGTTATTTGCATTATTTTCCTTTCTGGGCCTGTTTTCTGGAAGAACCAAGATAACATTAACAAAGACAGTGGAAAAGAAAAGTCATGTTAACGTACAGTAAGCTGTGTGGGGTACAGATAGTGTGGTTCTCAGTATCTGTGTCCCCAGGACTTTGCAGATGGCACACCGTAGTACCAGCATAGGTCTGTTGACTGTCTATATTATATATCTGCTTCCTCATTAGAATCTTTGCACCAAAAATAGAAACAGGAAAGGTGAATAAGGATATGTTCCAGATGGTCAAAATGGTAAGATTCGGAATTGCATTAGATGCCGCCTCACTGCCTTAGAGTCGGGTGTGCGGGGAGAGTCAGTGCGCGCACGGGTGCAAGCAGGAGCTGTGAGGGAGCAGCTGCGGCGGTGACTCAAGAGAGCAAAGGGCAGGGATGTGAGAAAAAGGCATCACTCGTTATGTTACACTTCCCCAGATTTTAAAGTCTTACTTGCATGCGAGACTTTTCTGGCAGCAGTCAGAAGGGCAAAAGGTTTAAAAGGCGATATCTCCATCATGCGATTCGATGTGCTTTAATGCCATGCTATGGACCAACTAGAATGGCATGCCCAATAATGGTGCGCTCTCTTGCTCGGGGAATACAGCTAAAAGGAAGATGCTAGACTGAGGAGGTCTCTGTTCTAGTTTTGCTTCTGTCGCCGTGAGACCTCACAGGTCACTCAGCTTGAGGTTTCCTCCTCTGTGGTTTTTTCCTCCATGGACTGTCAGGGAATTGACTCTCAAGAGACATACTGTCCATATGTGTCAACGGCGTGCTCGAATTATGTGTGCTCACCCAGGCACTAAACATGGAGTGGCTTGGACAAAAGCTCTGGATACATCAGACATGGGCCCCAGTCGGATGTGGAAATGTGTGGGCAACTATATGTCATTGGAACAAATGCCACTGTCTGGTCAAGTATACATCAGGAGGGAAGTGGTTGATTGCCAAGGACCTAAGACAAGACAAGTTAGAGTCTTGAAGGACATTTCACATAAACTTCACAGGTGTTTGGTCTGGTAGAGTTGGGTGTGGGGAGCACAGAAGCGCCCAAGCCAAGTGAAATGGGATTACTCAAAATGGTGCCGAATGCTGGAGCTGGTGGTTTGGTGAGCTCTGCTGGTTCTTATGAGGAGTCCGGCAAGCTCCCAAGTCACCACTGTCTTTTGGAAGGTGGAGTGTTTCTAGGTGCGGGCCTGAATTGCCATTCTGAAAAGGCCCAGTGGTTGATTCTTAGAAATGCTATAATTTACTGGCCCACTACCTGAAAGTGCTGGAATGACTGAACAGGGTTGCAGAGAACCATCTGAGGGTATAAACTGCTTCCACAGTGTTGGGAGGTGGTGGTTTCCTTCCCTTGCTCTTCTCCCACAAGCTGGGTTTTGTTTGTTTTTTTTTTTTTGTCCCCTGAGCATTTCAGAACAAGTGATGAAAGAACCAGCATAGAACAAACAAGCATGAAATTCTTCTAACACCTCCCTTACTCACCATCCTTCTCACCGTCCCCCCCAACACACACACACACAAACACGGTATAAAAATAGGACTGGTTATTTTTCATGGGGCTGGCTTTGGTTTCCTCCTGTTTGTTTCATTTGGTGTTGTGTTTTGTTTTGTTTTGTTTTGTTAGAGGGAGGGGAGGGGCAGAGGGAGAGGAAGAATGAGAATCTCAAGCAGGCTTCAAGCCCGGCACAGAGCCCAGTGTAGGGTTCAGTCTCACAACCTTGAGATCATGACCTGAGCTGAAACCAAGAGTGGATGCTTAACTGACTGAGCCACCAGGAGCCCTGTGATTTGGTTTTTATCCACCATTTCCAGAGGCTCTGGTAGCATGTATTGGGTGCCTGCACTTTGCTTGGGGCTGGGGGTTGGGTAGGGTCGTGCTCCTGGAGTGGACAAGAACAGGGGCTGATACAGCATTTGAACTCAATTTAAGGGTAGAAATTGGAGTCTTGGTAGTTTGTTTCTTCCCTACACAGGAGGGGTGGGTGTAGCCACCTGACAGGCTTTAAGTTCCCTCCCCTTATTTTTATCCAGGTGATAGTTTCCAAAAAACTCCCCCAGGGGAAGAAAATAGTCACAAAAGGGGAGCACAGAGCCTTATAACATTTGTTTAACCAGGGGAGAGAGTGCAAGGAGCGGTATGCCTCACAACAGTGTGGTGAATGGTGTGGACTTGCGCCTTGGCTGTCAAAGAGAGCCAGCCCTTTCCCTGCACTTGTCCCCAGGGGCCACCAGCCCGCAGCCATTCAAGGAAGATGGGGAGGAATGACACCTGTGTTGTGAAGCTCCTCTGAGCCATGCCAGGTCCTGTGCTGGGAGTGTGCTCTCACTCTGTCCTCACAGTTGGGGAATCATTTCCCTGGTTTGTTATTTTTTTAAGATTTTATTTATTTGAGGGGAGCCTGGGTGGCTCAGTCATTAAGTCTCTGCCTTTAGCTCAGGTCATGATCCTGGGGTCCAGGGATCGAGCCCCAAATCGGGCTCCCTTCTCAGTGGGAAGCCTGCTTCTCCCTCTCCGCTGGCTTGTGTTCCCTCTCTCACTGTGTCTCTCTCTCTGTCAAATAAATAAAATCTTTTAAAAAAAATAAAAAGATTTATTAGAGCATGAGCAGGAGGAGCGGCAGCAGGAGAGGGAGAAGCAGACTCTCCCCACTGAGCAGGGAGCCCGAGGCTGGATTCTAGGACCCCAAGATCATGACCTGAGCTGAAGGCAGATGCTTAACCATCTGCCATCTGAGTGACCCAGGCTCCCCGAGTTCCCTGTTTTTTGGAGATGTGCAAAAAAGGTAAGTATTATCAACCCCAGTGGCAGAGCCACCTTGAAATTCTGGTCTAATTTCCAAGCCCAGGATTCTTTATGTAGAGATAGAGAAAAAAAATCTGAGGGTTTCCACAAGGTGTCAGTGTCTCGGAGCCCTCTGCAGAGGTGACCATGGGGCAGCAGGTGAAGAGGGGTGGTCAGAGGGAGATCTTCCATCACCAGCGCTTCCTGTAAGCGGACCAGCCTCCGTTTGGCCTCAGGGACTCCTGCTGGATACCTGGTCCCCTGGAGAGGACTTGGTTCAACTAGGTTTAATGCGTTTCCTTCTTTTCTCCCTCTGCAGATGGATTTGTCTGTGGAGACGCTCTTCAGCTTCATGCAGGAGCGCCAGAAGAGATACGCCAAATACGCAGAGCAGATCCAGAAAGTCAACGAGATGTCAGCCATCCTCCGCCGCATCCAGATGGGCATTGACCAGACGGTGCCCCTGATGGAGCGGCTCAACAGCTTGCTGCCGGAGAGCGAACGCTTGGAACCCTTCAGCATGAAACCAGAGAGGGAGCTCAAGCTCTAGGGCTGCCACTCCCCTCCGGCCGGCTGGGCGCTTGCTCTCTGGTGACAGAGCCAGTCACTGCCCCTGGGGCCCGAGGCCCAGGAGCTGACTGGATCCTAAAGCCGCGTGGAGGCTCTGGGACTCTGGGAAGGGGTGTGTAGCGGTCAGGCTGGCCTGAAAATCTGATCCTGCACCACCTACCCCTTTCCTTGATGCGTTTTTCCCCTTGGCAAAACGAACCAAACTCATTCTCGGTGCTAACCGAATTTGGAGTATCTGAATTATTAGAAATTTCTTGCAGAACTCTATGTCGGGAATTTTTTATTTTGTTTAGATTTTCTTTTTTTTAATTGAGAGTGTATATTGTCAAGTCTAGCTTGCAGAGTGAAAATATGGAGAGAAGGGGAGAAATGGTTTAAGAAGCTCTGTGTCCTCAAGGCCTTCATGAAATTTTACTCAGTAGGCTTTCTGGGTTATGAATTGTAAACATAAAGAACTAATTTAATCCAAGTCTCGGTGTTGTTACTGTTCCTGCCCTGTTGACATCATGTCAGGTCTTTATCTGGGGCACCCTGTTCCTGCCGCGGTGGAACACTGGTATTTTTGTTGTGTGCTGGGTTATGGTGTCCCTTGTGTGTCGTCATTGGAGACTGAGGACTTCCTTTGAACACCCTCATTGGGCTCATCTCCCACTGATAACTGGTTTCCTTAATGCACACGTGGTTTAGGTTTCCTCACATTACATCAGCACTGGCAAGACTCCAGTTTCTGTGACAAGGTTTTAACCCATACTGATTTTACTAGCCTGGTAAACCTCCGGCGTGGTCAGGCTTTGAAATGCCTGCAGCAGGCGTGTGTCGAGCCCACTTGCTCTGCCTGACGTTGTGCCCTGACTACAAACAGGCCTCTGGGGTCCCGGCCCTCCTTTTCTTCAGAGAGGAAACTCACAGTGCTGCTGAGCTTCTGTGGAAGTTTAGGAAAGGAAGCCACCTGAGTAACCGCAGGAGTGTTTAGTGCAGGAGTTTGCACCTCAGAGCTGTCCCCAGGGAAGAAAGGCTAAAGATGCAAAGAAACAGAATGGAGCACCAGGTGGAGGCAGGCACATCGTGACCAGGAGCTGGGAATATGGGGAAGCCTCTGGGCCAGGACATCCTGTCAGGACTCGCCTTGTTCCCCTTATTAAATCCCCAAACTTCTGAAGGTGTTTTGAGATATCAAAAACAGGCTTTGGTAGCTTTATAACCTTAAAGTCGATCCTTTTAGCATATCTCTGGTAAACGTGATCTGATTCTAGTCTCGGATTTTAAATAGATACTATTTTGTAAGATTCTTAGAACCCAGAATAAAACATAGAACCTAAAATAATTGAATAACAAAAACTTGAGCATTCGAAGCTAAGTGGGGAAAAAAAAAATTCAGACACAGGAAAAAAAAAAAAACAGCTTCCAGGATTTTCAAAGGAACAGCCAAAGAATATCAAGACTCTTCATCCCTCTGAGCTGGAAAGAGCAGATGGACACCAGAGCCCAGGGAAGAGGCCAAGGCGGCATCCCCTTCTTTTAGCCGGTGACTTCCCATGTCTGCCTTCCTGGGGACTGATGCCTTCCTCTGCCCAGTAGGAAGGCGGCCTAGAGGTGTCCAGCCTCAGGAGATAAAGTGGTGTGAGGGAGTTGTGGGGGACTCGGAAGCCACAAGCTGGGGAGGGAGGAACTCTCCCTTGAACCTCTGTTGGGCCGCACTGGTGAAGGAAGTTTGTGTTTCTAATGCCTTTTGATGGTCGGGATTTTACTGGGTCTTAAACATTTTCTAGAGGAATTTATTCAGGGGTACAAATCTGGAAAGATGTTTTGTTTCTTAGAAACCTATTAATAGTAAGGTTATTTTAGGAAATGTCACGGAGGGGAGGGTGGTGATATTTAGTGAATGTGTCCTCCCCCTGCTGAGGCACAGTACCCCTTCTATTATGTTCCACATTTCCATGTGATTGAGGAGCTAGTTCTGAGCTCTGTTCTCATCCACTCATCTTTCTCCCCACCCCCCCCGCCCCGTTTCATGTGGTTCTTCACTTTTCTATACTGTTTTAATATAATTTCACAATATATTTTAATATCCCTTGTAGCCAGATTAGGTGCTACCCGTGCTTATTACTGCTTTTTCCTTTCTTTAATTTCAAACCAACAGAAATTGAGTTTCAAAAAAATAATTCAAGGAATACTTCTATTCCCCTTTGCCAAGACTGGCAGGAAGTGGCTTTTTTAAGCCATCACCATCATTGTGTTTTCCTGAGTTCCTGGAGTGTGCACATTGCAGATCCCCACTCTGAACATGGGCGTGCTTGCAGCTTTCCGGGGATGAAGAGCCGTAAGAGCAGCTCGGGGGTCAGGCGCCGTTCCCATCACCACACTTAGTGTAATTCATAAATTAAAGCACAGAGCAAATAAAATGAGACGCAGACCAAGCCCCCCTGAGGACGGAGCTCGCTCACTGTGTTTCAACAGTTCATGGTGAGAGTGTGGCAGGAGGGTGGACTGACCACGGCATGAGAATATTCTCAGCCAGCCAGCCGGCTTGCCACCCACCTCAAAACCCAAGTCTTCTTATAAAGAAGTTAGACGGGGGTGCCTGGTTGGCCCGGTCAGTACAGCATGCGACTCCTGGTCTCAGGACTGTGAGCTCAGGCCCCATGTGTAGAGGGAGTAGAGCTTACTGGGGAAAAAAAAATTTTTTTTAAAAGTTAGACAAGGGACGCCCGGGTGGCTCAGTGGGTTAAAGCCTCTGCCTTCGGTTCAGGTTATGATCCCAGAGTCCTGGGATCGAGCCCGCATAGGGCTCTCTGCTCAGCAGGGAGCCTGCTTCCTCCTCTCTCTCTCTGCCTGCCTCCCTGCCTACTTGTGCTCTCTGTCTGTCAAATAAATAAATAAAATCTTTAAAAAAAAAAAAAGACAAAATGATAATAATAACTTGCATTTGGGTCCTAAGTACTGAGGCTCCTCATTACTGGGTAGAAGCAGAGAAGAACAATAGGCAAATTCAGTATTTTTTTAGAGAATTCTAGTGAGTGTTTATGCTGTGTGGGATGGTTTTGCAGTGTTGTCAACTTGGCTGAGCTGAACTGTTTTCCACAATCCCTGTTTGTTTCTGGTTAGGGTTGGCCACGGGAGCCACCTGCATGAAATCTGGAAGTGGACAGAAAGCAGCAGCCCTGTTCCCTCGCCAGAGGTTGCCGACTTCAGGCCCCACTGCATCTCAGGCTCCGGTTCAAGGACTGCTGCCCTGTGCTGGGCCCAGCAACCAGGCTCATGGCCACTCCAGCTCCCACAGAACTCTGTCTTCAGTTCTTCCAAATCACGGGCCAGTTATGAATTGAGCTGCTCCTGTTAAGTCATTTGCAGGAGGGTGAGGCTTCAAGAAGAGGGGAAACTGGCGTGGGTCCTGGCAAGAGGCGGATGCCAGTTCCAGCCGGTTGCTCGCAGGCTGCAGCTGTCCTGGCTCTCTCAGATCACACTGCCACCTTCTTTCCCTACCGCCTGCCCGGTGACTTCACCTGCACCAGAAACAGCTCGACTGGGGCTCGCTTAGCAGCACCCGTAATGAAGTGCGCAAGGTCAGTCCTTCAACGCCCCTGCTCCTGATTCTGTGTCTGTCACTCCTAGTGTCCAACTTGACCTTTGGCAGATACCTTCATTTCCCTGAGGCTGTTTCCACTTCCCAGCAGTGTGAGCTGGGCTGGACAGGCTCTCGGGCCCCTTCCAGCTCCAGGATTCCACTTCTGTGACTTATACTCTAGCCACATCTTTACCTGTTGTCTCTGAGCAGTGGCCCTGTGTTTTGGAAGTGACTTCACATTCTGAGCTCCCAACAGAGCTTGTTTCCTTCTTTTTGTTTATTAGAAAATATCCAGTGATTCCTTTCTTTTGAGCATCTGTTTTGCTAATCTATCGATCTCTGCCTCTGTTATGTATGAACACTGTCAAACACGCCCCTATAAACTGCAGTGTCCTTGTTTGACTCATTGTAGTGGAAGTTGGTAGGAGCTGGCCTTCACCCCATGTCGTGTGTGCATGCCGGTTTATAGCGTGTGAGAGTGTAGATCTCATGAGAAACTATATAATTTGACATGTCACGTCTTTGTTGCCCTTAAAGTTCTGTCCTTAGGAACAGAATTTATATCTCTGTAGGGTCAGCACTGGATGAAATGTATGATAAGGATTCCATGCCCCGAGATGCAGAAGTGCACTCAAGGAACAAGGCGGGCTTTTTGTTTGTTGCAATCTCCTTCGCTTTTCCCACCGACCTATAAGGAGGGCACGTTACAGGGGTCCCAAACATGCAGTTTCCAAGGTTACATACACAAACGGTGCTGGGGGACTGACATGGGGCCCCTGCTTCTGTGGATTTGTAGAACTGACTCAGCTGTGGCCGTTCCCTTAGCAAGTCCCAAGGCAAAACCAGGAATCTTCAGGAATGGAAGCTGGGAGCAAGCCTTGATTAATATTCTAGGGTCAGTGAAATTTGGTCTTCCCAATTTGTTTGTACCTCAGCTAAACCCAGATATATAGTACTCAGTAGGAAACTACTTAAAATGTTGCTATTAAAGATCAAAGGGTAGAGTGAAGTGACCATTCTTCTTCCTGGGGGATGTCATAGGTGTAAATTGTTCTTCGTGCCAAGAGAAAGAATTTGCTCTTCGTTCCCCTGCCCTTTGCTTCCTCAGTTAAGAACTGCATAGCACCCCCAAGGTCACTGCTGTTCACTAACGTGTGGTAAGCAGCACTGAATTTCTTGCACACACACGAGGGGAGTCGCTTCCATTCAAATGGCCCAACTCCAGAGGGGAAGGGTGACCGGATAACTTCCTTATTCTCATGCCTTAAACCAAAAAAATCAAAATTGTTGGCAACTAAACCCAGTTGCTTCCTAGTCTACCAGTAGCTCCTGTGGTGTGCTGATGTGTGTCCATTCCTGTCAGGGTCTTGGGCAGGGTCATCCGTGCCACTATGAGGCCTGATGGAATTTACTAGGGACTCTGTTCTCTTCACCAGTCAAGGTATCTTCCTACTGCGACCTTTTATTTTTATGATATAGTGAGCAGGATTCACGCTCAAAGCTTTGGTGAACCAAGTGCCTTAATTTCAGCCTTTGAAAGTGTCGGAATTCCCTCTAGCAGAGAGAACCCAGAGCACAGCTGAACTCACCCTCTGCGAGCTACCCTCTTTGCCTGGGACACTGTTCCCTCGAGGTCACAGCCCGCATTTCCCGTGGGACATTGTTTCCACGGACTTGACTGAGCTAGACCTAAAGGGGTGAAACTGGTTTTTACATAAACCCACTTTGTTGCCTGTGCATATAAACTGCAACAACGGGACTGACGTGTAAACATTTTCCAAGACAGTGAGATAATTTTCCAGTTGATTTTGCAAGACTTTGAAGATAAAACTGAATATAATTACGCTGTACAAGGAGCCATGGGCCCCACAGAATGCTAGAAATAACTCACTTCCCTCTTCCATTTATAGATGCAGGACAGTAATGTTCAGAGAAAAGCACCTGTACAAATGTTACTAGATCTAAAACGATTCTGCGTGGTGTCAGAAAACAAAACCAGATGGTATTAAAAATGGCAGTGACGGCTTTGACGTGAAAAGTTTCTGTCAACTAGTCCTGGTATGTACACCCTTGCCTTGCCATCTCTATCTTCCTTGTCTCCCCTTAGCCTGAGCCCTGGTCTGATATTCCTTGTCAAACTCATACCAGTCCTCCCATACTAGCCTGTTCTTACTGGCCTCTAAGAGGTCCCCAGATCTGTGCCCTTAAGTCGTAAGAGGCTTGGCCTTCAGGAGCTCCCAAGATCTGCACCTTCTCATTTGAAGCCTCTCCCTGAACACCTGCTCGCACACGCCGCCTTCCTCTCTGGAGGCAGACGTGCTCCCACTCCCTATGCTCTTCCGTCCTGTGTCTGCCTCTGGTTCTTTGCCAGGTCCAGGCCAAGGCCGCTCTTAGTCTTGGCTCACCCAGTACCATCCCTCTTGCTTTTAAATTTTCTTAAATTTAACTTCATCTCAGAAGCCTGTCCCAACCAACTTAAGTGACATCACCTGTGATTCTTATTCCAAGGTAATATGCTTTATTATGAAGCATATTTATGGAGGTAGTAAAATGCTTTATTCCTTTGATGAGACTAAGCTACTAGTCTCCTAAATTGTCCTGTGCAGTGTCCTTTATAAGCAGAGGGCTCCTGAAGATGTACATGGCAAGGATGGAGAACAGATCTTTAATGACTATTCCCCATTTTTCCTATAAGAATTATAAAACCATTTACATATACCATTAGAATGTGCCATGAATGTGCATCTGGTCGTTGTCTTCCCTATACGTATTCTCGGTTCAGTCAGTCGCAAATATTTACCAAGTGTCTAGGGCTCCCCACTGTAGTGTGCATTGGTACAGGCACTGAAGAACGAAGGCCAGCGTGGAACCGTCAGCCAAGGAGCTGGTGTTCCGTGGGAAGGACGGCACACGTACTGTATCTGGTGCCCTCACCACTTTATTTTGAGCTAAGTCCCCTTTGCTGTGGGAACAGCAAGACAGGTCCCACCACTGCCTCCTTCTGCAACTCGGATATTGTTCTTCCCACCAAAAGCTGCAAGGAGAGGTCCTTTTCTCATTTATGTATAAACAGGTACCAGTTTAGATTTTATTTCATATTAACATACATGAACATCAAAATGAGAAATGCACAATGTAACCATTCAACAGCATCTTACTCCAAAAGAACACTATATTCATATTAAACATTTATACAGTCTTCCCACCTCACTTTACAAATGTCAACCACAGTCCAGCCTTTCTCACACACAATCTAGTTTTGCTCTTTAGGAATCACGGTTCAGTGTCCTGCTGGCAGACTCCAGGGCGTGCCCTACAAGCCCCTACAGCAGAGAGCAGCCAGCCTCCCCACGCAGGGGCAGGGGCAGGGCTCGCCCCGGGGCCCCGCAGTCTCCGGCCAGAGAACTGTGTATCTGACATACGCAGTCGAGACCGAAGGCTGTAGGGCAGGACTACCTCACAGTCACGGGAAAGAAGGGGACCACGGCCAGGAGAAACCCCGAACGATGGAAGTCTCCCCCACAACCCTCCTGGGACAGACTTAACACTGGAGCTCTTGTTTTCATTTCTTAAAAATGTTCCACAGTTATGACCAGACTCTGGAGAACAAATGAGCTCTTCCATGCTTGGTGTATACAGAACACCTCAAAAATTACTCCTTGAGAATGTCTGATTACACCCCAGATTTAAATGTATGTGTTAAAACTAACATCATTTAACAGAACTTTTTCCATACAGGAACACTGAGCTCCCTATGCAGTGTCCTCTCTTCCTGCCTTCATTTTATACCCGGATCACAGCACGTTACCTGTGCACGAGCGAGCGGTTCTGTTACGCACTGCTTGGAATCACCATGAGCAAGTCCGTTCTGAATCACATCATTCATTCTGTGCTGGTTTCAGCAGTCATCATAGGAAACATGAAGTCACATCCTAGTTGAAGGACTATCCATTTCTCAAACACAGAAAAACCTGAGATATGAGTCAGCAACTAGCTACACTTACAGTAAAGAAAAATGACAACACCCCCACCCCCCCCCCCCCCGCAAAAAAAAAGCTGCTGACGTGAATTAAGGCTTCAAAAGAGGACCATACTGTAGCTGACAAGACTCAAGCCGGGAAGTTTAAAAGCAGGTATGTACTAATCACTTGTGTACTCTTAACTCCTCTATTTTCAGCTGCCAGGATTGAGTCCATACAGTGATTGTAGGTCAAAGACTGAGAGACCACCTTGGTCCCGCTCCATTTTGATATGTCCTTTCTACTAAAAAAAAAAAAAAAAAAAAAAAAAAAAAATGGCCAGAGATACTTTCTGAGAATAGCTTGGCTGTGGCTTCCCACTCCACTCACAAAAGCCAGCCACCTTCCCCTCACCTTCCTATACTGTTTTATTCAGAACCCTCCTCATTGAACTAGCCTCTCAGCCCTATTAGTAAATTGGAAAGTGTGAGGAAATTACAGAACTACGTCCTTCAACACAGTCTCAGGGGAACAAAACCATTGAGAAAAATGAGTTTCCTGGCTCTCCTTAGCAATTTTAATTCTTTAATCTTTCCAGAGCTTTTCTCCCTCGTGATAGTTTCCTGTAAAAGTCTACCTGTTAGGTTTTTTGTAAAAAACCTATCTGTGCAAAGAAATCGAAATGGAAAAAAATCTACTTTGGCTGAGAACTTGAAGGTGCTGCTGTTCTACCAACCCAAATAAGTTCACATCTGGCTTCAACCAAGTTCATCTTTATTTAAAGGATTAACAACCCCATTTGGAACAATTCTTTGATTCACATGGAGGGAGGAAGACTTGTGTAGCCTCCCGACCTACCTTAAATCATTACAAGGCCAGGTCCCTGGCTGTTCAATTGAATCCTAGACGGTTCCCCTTCTCTTCGTCAAGCCGAGAAGAAAAAATTAACTACCACCATCCAGGCCCAACTGGAAATTTGTGCAGAGACAGTCTGAATTGGCCTGCAAAGTGTGACTAGCTACCTACCTATTCACAACGCCTAGAAGACAGGCTACCGGACTCGGTAGTGGTAAAAGCCCCAACTTTCAGTCTGAGGTACTGGGTTTGCTCTGAAGTCGACCTTGGCAAGGCCCCTAATGGTGTGTGCAGCAGAATGAGGCTCGCGGCACTCGGCTGCCACGTGAGCTTGGGTGTGCGAGTCCACTTTGGATGGGCTCACTTCTCTTGCGTTTACGGTGAGGTTCTGTCCCTGATGGGGTCTACCCGCCCAACCCACGAGCTGGCTCAGTCTCAGCGCTAAGGTGCACTACGGAGGGGGCCGGACAGGGGCTAGCACTCGAGAGCTCTTATAGCACAACACGAACATGGGAGGGCATGTCATCCTCCACCACCCAAACTGGACTCAGTAGGAACAAGAGGATGTGCAATGCGCTGCATACAATTTCTCATCTGGCGGGGAGGACATCTAGCATCTGCCCATCCACTCTTGTTGAGAAAGAGCAGCTGCTCTCAAGTGCAGACGCTGAGAGAGCAGCTGTGTTGATCCATCATTTGCTTTTACACCATAGCTCCATTTTCCAAAAATATATATGTATGTACATATATATATTTCAGATTTACAGGGAATATTTTTGTGAACAAGAAAGTACTATCCATAGAAGCCCGCAGGGTCTTCCTTCTCAGGAGACCTCAATGATTTCCATGCTGCCCGAAAAGCTGGACTGGCTGCCCACTTTGCCCAGTTCTTCCCGCGACCTGTTCTCCGACATGATGCTCTCGCCGAATTCCATCTGGCAGCTTCTGCGCTTCAGCTGCTTTTCGAACGGGCTCTCCTCGTGCCAGCTCCGCCGGGAGTCGGCCCTGTCGCTGGGCTTCTGCCGCCGGCGCACGGAGTAGAGCGGGTCGCCGCAGGTGGGCAGCTGGCTGCAGCTGTAGGCCGAGTAGCCGCCGCCGCCCCCGTAGACGGCTGAGGCCGAGCAGAAGCGAGGGGGCTCCGGGCCGAAATACCAGCTGCCGGTCAGGGAAGGGGCAGAGGTGTGGGGAGCCAAGATGTCCGAGTGCCAGCCCTTGAGGCCCAGGCCGGCGGCGGACTTGGCGAGGTGCTGCTGGCTGGCGGACAGGCCGAAGAGGAAGCTGGCGGGGCGGTTGTCCTCCATGCTCCCGCTCCGCTGCAGCGGGGAGAAGAGGGGCCGCGGGGCGGCGCCCCCGGCGCTGGTTCTTCCCGTGTGCAGCCGCTTCCCCGGGCCCTCAGGGGGCCTGGCCGGCTGAGGCTTCTCGGGGAGTCTGGCTTCCTCCTTGTCCGGGCTGCTCTCGGGGGTCTGCTCCGACACTTCCTCCACCGGAGAGAACTGGCAGAGCTTGGTGGCCCCCTCCAGACTCGCGGAAGGCTTGTAGTATTCCAGAGCCTCTTCTGAGGACGGGAAACCGTGCAAGGACGCCGCCACACTGGCCGAGTACGAAAGGGATTTGATGTCCAGAGAGAAGGAGCGCTTGAGCTTACTGCTGTCCTCTCGCTTGCCTGACGGCAGGTGGAGGCTGCCGAGCGCCTGCACCAGGGGGCCGTCCTCCAGCAGCGAGGGCTGCAGGCCGGGTGCTCCGGCGGGATGTGCGGGCCGCTGCCCCGCCGCCTCGGAGGGAGCGCAGTTAGCACAGGGTGGGCTGAGGCCCAGCTCGTGCTTCTGTGCACCCTCGGAGCCCGCAGGGACGGCTTCATGGGGCTTCTCCAGGTGCAGCAGCTTGAGTTTGCTCTTCGGCCCTGATGCACCCATCTGGTTCTTGATCTTCTTCTCATAGTCTAGGAGCTGGCCCAGAAAATTGAAGTTTGGAGATATAGTAGGTCTTTTTTCTTTCACAAATCTGTGAAGAGAGCAAAGGCACAAAAATCGTAAATTTTGCAGCTGTACTTTATCTTTAAAATAGCTAGAAAATAGAATATTAAGTAAAAGGGAATTATTAGAACCTCCGAGATACCTATGGGAAGATGACTAGTATGAAAGTTCAGGGAGACATACATGTCCCTGGAGCATGCTAGAAAGACAGGGGCCAGGCTCCCAAAGCTCTAGTTTCAGCCTTCTTGTGCTCGCTTCGGCAGCACATATACTAGTTTCAGCCTTCTTATTTTCAAGGACCCACAGTTTCCAATGCAACCGACAAGCAAAGATTCTGTCCTAACCACCCCTGCCCCAACCCCAGCGCCGGTGCCGCTGTCACAAGTACAGACTGAGAGCCACTCTCCAGCTTTCCCTGTATCGTGCCTTCTCAAAGTCCCCACAGTCACTTCCTCAGGACATTGCATGTTTTAATTAATGATAAGAAAAGTGGTTATCAGGTGACCAGAGCATCAAAGCACACACTCAAATTCCTTCTGTCTCCACCATGACGGAGTCATCAGCTCTCAGGTGGCTTTGTGTGCTAAGCACTGGGCTACTGCATTAGACAGAGTATTATCTCATTCAGTCCCCAAAACTACCCATGTCAGGGGGGTATTTTACCCCATCATATAGGGACACAAAGTCCCTAAGTGACTTGCCCAGAATCACACAGCTGGGATTCAAAACCAGGCCTAATGTCTGGGTCCATTTTTATAACTACTGTGTTAAAAAGAATCATCAAGGGGCACCTGGGTGGCTCAGTGGGTTAAAGCCTCTGCCTTTGGCTCAGGTCATGATCCCAGGGTCCTGGGATCGAGCCCCGCATCGGGCTCTCTGCTCAGCAGGGAGCCTTGCTTTCCTCTCTCTCTCTCTCTGCCTAATTGTGATCTCTGTCTGTCAAATAAATAAATAAAATCTTAAAAAAAGAATCATCAAGGGGTAAAAACTAGTAATAAATAGCTTTTATGTTTAATTGTGGAAACAGACTATTAGACGAATTCATTGACTACTGACCTTCACAGACACCCTGCCAAAGAAGCAGGAGTGAAACCACAGTGAGGATTTGTACTTGAACACAGATAGAGGAAAATCACAAACTCTTTGGAAATCAAGTAACCTAAAGCAAACTGAGGTCAGAAACAACTGGCCCCACCGTAACAAATATAAACGTAGGGTCCTCGTAATAAGACCTGGTAACGTGACAGAAGAGTGCCTTTCCTTCTGCTTCTGAAATGGTGCCAGAAGCCCTGTGGGGAGAAGAGCCTGAATGGGGGACGAGGGAACTGATGGAGACCAAGGTAGGACCCTTCTCCTCCAGGCTCACTCCTCGAATGAGAAGCTGCTTGGGCAGCCCATTTCTTTCCAGATCTTCCAATGTGAGAAAAAAGTCCAATTGTTACAACAGGCCTGCTTCCTGCACCCGTATGTACTGGCTCTCTATCACATGGGAACTCCCCACCTCTATCCGCTAAGTGCACAGGGGCCCCCGATTCACCCCCAGGGCACAAACCCTGGTCCTGTGCGCGCTTGCCATTTGCCTGCCCTCCACTTGGCCCAAGGGTGGAGAGAGAGATCCAGTCAAAATGCAGACTCTGGGCAACTCTAGAATGTAGGACATTGGACTCAGTAAACGTATTTTGACAATTACTTGCTCTTGGGCTTTTTCCTCACAGTGATGGAGGCACAAAGCTTGAAGCAGGAGGAGGAATTCTGTAACGGGTAATCTGCTGGAGCTTTTTTTCCTCAGATATACTTCCCCAGTTAGGAAAAGATATAAACTCACTTAACAGGATGGTGTTCTGTTTAGATTTATTGTTCCTGAAAATTAGAAAGTAGCTGAAGATGAACCCAACACGAGTTTGGGTGGAATTCATGCTAACTTATACAAGTGCATTCTTCTCTGGTCTTTGAAAAACCATTTAAAAATCCAGTCACCTGTATGGCATGTAATTAAAATAGTCCTGATTTGCTTTAATTTGGTTACATGCCCTCCTCTCCCTTCACACTTCAGGTCACAAGACGCGTTCTCGTCCTCACCTGTAAGCTTCATCTAAGGACATGTCCATCCTCTTCATGATGTAGGCGATGGCGATGGTGGCCGAGCGGGAGATGCCGGCTAAGCAGTGTACCAGGACGCGCCCATTGGAGGCCTTGGCTTTCTCTGCAGGAGTCAAATTTAAAAAAAGGGTCACGAAGAACAACGATGGTCAACAGTGAGATCTTGCTGCCAGTTACTTCCTTTCATCCAATAACTCCGAGTAAATCCCATCTACTTACATATTGTTCCTTTCAATAGTTTCTTAGGAAGATAAAAGGAAGATCACTTCACCATTTACATACAGGACAGCAAAGGGCCAGATGTGTTAGTAAGCACTGAGTCCCCTAACTCAAGCTCGCCTCTTACTCAGTACCTTTCCCAATGGGTTTTTTACATTATTTTTATTTTAATAACTTTCCCTGGCTATACATCCTACATTATGATGACATGATTCTACTTCTTTAGTGTGGAAAATTTCAGAATGCAGAGAAGCGTAAAGAAAATAACTTTACCCATGTTGTCTGACACTCCAACTTCTTTCTAGTTAGGTAAGAGACACTACACTTTTTTACAGTTTTGAGACAGGATTTTCAGTTTTGAGATATAACTGACATATAACATTGTATTTCAGTATAATGTTTTGCTACATATAAGAGGTATGAAAATTTTAAAAATATTTTCTCATTTCAAACATATGTGACATACATTACTAATTTTAAAAATCAGGAGGGTGGGGAGGGAGAGGACTATCACCATACCGCATCAGAATGCAAAAAGATGCCAGGTCAGGGTACTTTTAAAATCCTGACTCATAGAACCTATCTTCCTATAGTTTAGACTTTTCTGTATGTCATAAAGTGGCTCAACTTTATTTGCTGAATTTAAGAAGAAAACCATGTGTGTGCTACGAATCAGGTTTTCCCTTTAACGAGGACCAAGGGAACCCGAACCTTTCCTGGATATCCAGGAGTTCCTGACTACATCATGTCTGTTCCCTACAACAGGGGAGGTGGGACTTTTGGACACTTAGAACCAAGAACATTCAGCCCGACGGTGCTGCCTTCTCTCCCTGTTGAGGGGCTTCAGAAGCTTCCTGGGGGAGTAAGTGAAGTTGCCCAGGCTGCCTGGAACCTGCTAACATGTCAGCCAGCACTAGGACTGCCTCACTCCGGAACAATGACATGCGCGCTTACCTATGAGCCGCAGCCGTGGAGCTCGATTCTCCCCTTTTCGCTCTTGTGTTAGCTGACACCATCAAAAGTTACCAAACCTTATGTCAAAATTCTTGTAACTCACAGATCTCCTGGGACTCGGCTCTGGCAGCTAAATAGTAATATAAGGCCTCTCCAGTCTCCCCACTTCTGTTATAGACATTACAGACTCCTAATGTATATGATTATTCATGATGTACAAAACACATAGGACTTTTGGATAGTATATGAATAATCAGCTTTTCTCTAGATAGTGAAATCGAACATAATGAAACAGTAACAAATGAATATAAATTCTTGAGACAAGGAAATATGTACAAAAAACAGGATAATAAATAAACCCATGTACATCAAGTCCCATGCCTTCCTGGGCCTCTACTGTTCTCTCCCTTGTCTCAACTACACAGTCCTCAGCCTGTACTAATCTTAGTAGTTCCACTTTTGCCTAGGCTGCTAAGAAGCTCAAAGCTGAGTCTTTCACTCAATTTCAATAGGGAACTGTAATTCAGATTTTATTGTACTTTTCTAGCTCCATATTACTTGGTTCTTGCCCTTTGATCCTATTTTAATGTATAGTGTGTGTAATGTGTGTGTTTTTTTATCCTAATCTCATACTGTAAGCTGCTTTAAACTCTTATTGGAAGTAGGCTGGATTTTAATTTTTTTAATTTTATTTATTTAGCTAGTTACAAAGTGTGTGTGCACTCAAGTGGGGAGGTAGGGAGGTGGAGAGCTGGAGGGGAGGTCAGGGGTGGGGGAGGGAGAGAGACAGAATCTTAAGCAGGCTCCATGCTCAGCGTGGAGCCTGACATGGGGCTCGATCTCATGACCCTGAGATCATGACCTGAGCCGAAATCAAGAGTCAGATGCTTAACAACTGAGCCACCTAAGCGCTCCTCAAAAATTTTTTTAAATGTTGACAATATTCTCTCAATTATTTAAAACAGTTATCTCAAAACAAGACTATAAGGCCCTAGAAGGTTCTTGCTTCTAATTACCTCAGAGGGCTTCACACTGGGGATATATTATGCACCCAGTAAATACTGGCTAGCTGACTCATACATACCTTAAAAAGCAATCTTTATAGAAAATGTGAAAAAAGTTGGAAGGAAATAAAATGATAACAGATGTGTTAGGATGTTGAGGTTATAGGTTTCCTTTTCTCTGTTTTTCAAATATTCTGCATTGTACTTTGCTTTTACAATCACGACACTTCTGAGGATGTATTTTAGAAATCTAACTGAGGGGTACCTATGTGGCTCAGTCAGGTAAGCATCTGACTCTTGATTTCAGCTCAGGTCGTCATCTCAGGGTCATGGGATCAAGCCCCATGGGCTCAGTGGGGAGTCTGTTTGGGATTCTCTCTCTCTCCCTTTGCCCCACCCCTCCCCACCCTGTGCATGCACATGCTCTAATAAATACATAAATCTTAAAAAAAAATTCTAAATGAAAATATTCCACTGGATTGGGGTTCGGCTCTTGACAGAAAAGAGTCCTAAAGGGAGTGTTAAAGCAAAGGAAGTCACACACACAGGGAGCTAACAGAGAGAAGGGAAAGGTGTGTTGGGCGGCCGTGCAGGAGGACCCAATAGGCCGCTCAGCCAACAGTCCATCAGGGCCGCTGCACATGCGCCATGGGGCGGGGTGGGCGGAGCAGGGGGCTGCTAGAAAGAAGGTTTCAAAGGTGGGGAGTAGGGGCCGGAGGGCCGGGAATGTCAGGCCAAGGACTGAAGGTTGCTGAACAGGGGGCAGCAAAAGCATGGATGGTGACAACTGGAAAGAAGAAAAGCAGTTTGTCGCTACAGCAGCTCAGGAATAAAAATCGAGGTCAAAAAAGGGCAGAGAGAATAACAAATGGGTAAAGGGGAGCCAGTGAAGATGAGACTTATAAAGGCTAAAAATAAAGAAGCAATCATTGCGCTTACAGAGGACAGCTCTAAGAAAAAAAACTGAAAGAACTTCTCAGAGGATCATTTATAAAACTGCTGTTTAGTAAAACCAGTTATGAGGACAGGATATTCTCCGTCTGTTACTTACTTTAATCGTCACAACTCCCCTCTAAGTACATACACTACCTTCCATTTCCAGATCAGCAAGCTGAGAAGCTTACACCAATCACTTAACTAGTAACCAAGGAAGGCAGGATCCAAATACAATTTGGCTCCAAAGTACATGCTCTGAGTCACCTCCCTGTAGGGCCCACATGCAAACTCAGGACGCGGGGCGCCGAGGGCAGGGTAAGGAGGAAGAGCGCCGGAGGAGCAGCCAGCTGGGACCGGGCACCTCGAAAATGTCCCACAGTCCCAGGCAACCCCAGCTCACTGCTGCCATGGGAACTAAAAATAAAGACAAAACGCCATGAACACTTGAGTTGAAATTTATCTCAATAATAAACAGACAAAACCCCCACAAGCCTGTAAGTCACTCAGCCCTGGAAAGGGGGCAGTTTTCCCACTGTGCACCTGCCAGAACTGACCACGGCAGAGAGCACGGTGGAGGCCAGCAACCGCGGTGACCACGCGCCGGACTCCAAAGGGTTCACACTGAATTACCGGGCTGGGGGCATGGGGAGCAATGGCCCTAGTAAAGAGGGCCGAGCAAGTGAAATACTGGGAAGTATAAATATTTTCGGATATTTCTAATAAATTAGAATACGTATTTGGGTGTGCTTAACCAAGCTGGAACATGGTAAATTCCTTCTGTCTGAACTAAGTGGCAGGACGACCCCAAGGTCTACCAGGAAAGAAGCAAGCAAGCTGGGGCAAAGTTACTCATCTTCTCTTTTCTGCTAACCCTCCCAAAGCGCGAACACTGAGATGAGGTCTCTTCTAAATAGGCCCTGAAACTGCACTTTTAGCTGAGATTAGAGCCAAATGTCTCTGGATTGACATGACAATCAATAGGAACATTAACTTTAAGTGTTACCTTCTAAATAAGCAAAAACAAGGATATATGAATACATCCTAGAAATACAGCGATGGGGCTCATTCATTTGGGAGTTTTATTTGTGAATATTATAAAGTGAATTATCTAAGCCATTTATCTTCTGATGTTTCAAAGACTGCATCCTAGTTAAAGATGAAAACGTGGCAATCTGGAATCTTGAAGGGGAAAAAAAAAAAAGGAGAACTGTTTTGAAATTACTCAAAGTTCCAAAAGCATTATCTAGAAATTCCTCTCTCAGATGAAAGGTATAGTTGAGGGGCTTAATGTACATAATTTCAGATTTTAAAGGGAACCAGTTCTTTTCTTAATTACAGTAACAAATTCAGAGTATTTAATTCGGAGTGCTCAAGCTTATGTGACTAGAGGAAGAAAACATCATGAACTTCTCACATGGAACATCAGGAGCAAAGGGGCTCCTCCTGCTTGTCGAGAGCAAACAGTGAATCTCCCCTGTTGAGCCACTCGTCACTAAAACTGCATTTCAAATACACATCACCAGTTTCCCAGACCAGACCTGATCGTGAGGCACCAAAATGTCACCAAGCACCAGGACTGACAGGCCCGCAAGCAGAACACAGCACAGGATGCGATCAGGGAGTTTTTTTAGATCCCCTACTACTTGAAATTATTGGCACTTGGACTGAGGCTTACAAGTCTCGTGAAATAAAGATGGGATTTGTTTTCACGGGATTTGACTTTTCTCTGGGGAGAACATAGCAGCGAGGTGAAACCAGTTTAAGGAATGCCACCAAAGCTTCCAAGAGTCATTTATGGGATCTGAAAAAATGGCTGAAGTTTAATCCCAGAAGTTTAACTGATTTTCAAACACCTGCCAACATAATCACAGATCTCATCAGAATTAACTGATTTTCAAACACTTGCCAACATAATCACAGATCTCATCAGGATTAACCTCGTGGTGTTCAGGAAGCCAGAATATCAAAAGGCAGTCCCTCAGCAACAGCATGGCACACATGTCACCTTGGCCACTGAGTAAGATAAGCAGCAGCATGTGTTGTTCCTAGACTTACAGAATCTCTGAAATAGGCTCCTTTCCTCTAAAGACAAAAAAGGGAAGGAAGGGGTATACCTGTATATGAGACTATACATAACCCAGAGGACTTATAATACTAGTGGAGCTACTTACCAATGAAATCTACTGATTTGTCCAACCACGGCAAAATTTTCTCACAAAAGCTATCATTCACAGGCACTCGCAGGAAATGAGACTCAGGGATAAAGTCGGGCTTAGGACAGGTATTGCTGGCATTTAACACGTAACTAATCCCATTCTGTTGCATCAGCTCCTGTGGAGGGAGAGAGCAATTAAAGTGATCAACACACCCGCGACAATCATTTTGGAAGAGTGAACTTTAATGATAGGAATTACTGGTTTCCTCGAAATCAGCATTAATTCAATCAGTGAAATCCAAAAACTTAGCACAGTGACATTTAGCGACTTTAGTTTAAAGCAGAATTGTTTTTAAGGGCAAAGAAAGGCTGTTTAAAATAGCATGTTTAAGGGGATGCCTGGCTGGCTTAGAGATTGAGTGTCTGACACTTGGTTTCAGCTGAAGTCATGATCTTGTGGGTCATGAGATCGAGCCCGGTGTTGGGGTCCACGATCATCAGGGAGTCTGCTTGAGATTCTCTCCCGCTGCCTGTCCCCCAATTCTCTTGCGTGCACATGCACTCCATCTCTCTCTCTCTCAAATAAGTAAATCTTTAAAACAATATGCTTGAAGATCACACATCATTAATATAATCAACTCTTTTATCTTCATTACTGAGAAAGAAGTGGAAGAATACAAAATAAAACCAGGACAGTTTACTATGACTTTACAGAGTATAGGTATACACAAGAACATTTTCTTCCCAAATGGAACATGCTGGTTGTTCTGAAAGATAAAGTCCTAGGCAGTCTTGTCGCTCTGAATATTCTCTTTAAAGACTGACTCTATTGCCATTGCTTTAATTATCAGCTCTACATGTTGACGACTTTTAAACATACATTCTCTTTAATTTCCAACCCGTCTTTCCAACTACCTCCTGGGTATCTCTGTTTGCATGTTCCTCAGGCCCTTCAAACTCAAAATGTCAGAAACTCAACACATTATCTCTCTGGGCCCCAAAGTCCCATTTCCTCTCTGTCACCAGAAGTTGGTTTATGGTAATACCATCTACCCAGACACCTGAGCTAGAAAATATGATCAAGTCATCTGTTTTCCTTCACGACCCCCATCCAGATGGTTGCCAGATCCTTTTGGTATCCACCTCCCATTTGTCCTCTCCTCTCTGTTCCCTGCTGCTTCTTGGCCAGCAGGCAGTCCCAACAACAAATGAGCCACCAGGGAGCTCTTGGAAGTTTGTGGTGTTTCATCTCTAAGCCATGAGCAAAAACCAGAGTAATCTTTCTTATAATCAAACATGGGCTAAGTGCTTTGCCCACACTTCAATGTCACCATGTCACTGCCTGCTCCTGTCCAATCCCCCAACGTCACATGTGCACCCACCTTTCCATGCTGCCGTTCACGCCACTCCTGTGCTTTGGAGGCCCTGCTCCTCTTCCTGGTCACTCTCATCCACTTTTCTGACTTTGATGAAGTTAACCTTACTGTGCATTCCTTCCACTGACGCATAACTCACCATTGCACTCTCTGCCCTTCCGAAGCACTTTGTTCAGAGTCCACTGCTGTTCTGAGCAGCTAATGCTGGCCTCTCCTAGCAAGGAGTAAGGTAGTGAGATCTGGGACTGACTCGCACTTATTTTCCTACCTTCAGCAACCAGATACACAGTGGCACTCCATACATGTTTGCTCAACCAACACCCTGTCCACTATTTCCCAGGCAAGTCCCCACGACCCCACTTCCTATAGTTCAAAATGTTCTATGCCTGAAATAATTTTCTTTTAAGCAACTCTGGTCATTTCTTGGAATGGTACCTCCTCTACAAATGTTTTCCAACTACCTGAAAGACAGTTGGTCATTTTCTTCCTATTTTCTCTCCTGAAATATGCCAATTCCCTAAACCTCTTCATTTACCACATTAGGCACAATAAGTATATTTACACAAAGGTAGACTCAATAAATTCAAGCCATGTATGTAACCCTCTCTCAACTGTGAGACGATAATGTCAAGAAACAGTTTTGGGAACCAGGTGAGTTTCCGGGAGTGACCGACTGACCCTGCTTTCATGTGCTTCTGGTAGGTTCACAGTCAGGTTGTGAAGATCTTAATGGTGTTTACTACAACTTTTCAACTTTTGTACATGTAGCAAAGGTCACATTTGTTTTTCCATGCTGAGATTACTGCCACTTGATCAACCGCAGTATCTCCCATGTAAAATGGCAATGGGTCCCTCTGGAGTTAAGGAACCTTTCAAGCCTTTCTTGCCAATGGTCCTTAAATGAAACATTTTATAGGTCCTTCTCCTATCCACCAACAGGACTACAGACTTATTAAAAGTGAAAGGAGATAGTAACGTCACTTTAAACCCAATTCAGTAATGAAGACCTAGAAGTTTCAGAAGATAACAGGTAGTTCTCCCTATGGACAAAACATGTTACAAATCTATAGTGACTGTCAAATTTGATTTCCCCCATAGAAAGAATGTAACAATGTATGCTTTTGACAAGTAGCTTCATAACCTTCAGTTTATAGAAATGGCCACTGAACCTAAATTCAATCAAAAAATATTTGTTGAGCACCTTTGCTAGAGGCTTATTAATAATATATTATGGTACATAATACATATTAATAAAATATCTACCAGAATAATATTTAACAGTTAATGAATCCCTACTATTTCCAAGTACTGTGCTGAACATTTAAATAGACAATCTCTTGAGGATGTGGAGAAGGGGGAGCCCTCGACACTGCTGGTGAGAATGCTAACTGGGGCAGCCATTCTGGAAAACAGTATGGAGTCTCCTCACAAAGTTAAAACTAGAACTATGATCCAGTAATGGCATTACTGGGTATTTACCCAAATAATACAAGAACACTAATTCAAAGGCATACATGCATCCTATGTTATAGCAGCATTATTTACAATAGCCAAATAATGGAAGTAGCCCAAGTGTCCATGGATAGATGAAAGGATAAAGAAGATCACACACACACACACACACACACACACACACACACACACACAAATACTATTTGGCCATAAAAAAGAATGAAATCTTGCCATTTGCAATGACATGGATGGAGCTAGCTTAGCACATAACGCTAAATGATCTAAGTCAGAGAAAGGTAAATGCCATATGATTTCAACTTCTATGTGGAATCTACAAAACAAACAAGGGAAGAAAAAGAGACAAAGCAAGAAACAAACTCTTAACTCCAGAGCACACCCTGTGGTTACCAGAGGGGAGTGAGTGGGGGATGAGGAAGTAGGTGATGGGGATAAAGGAGTGCACTGGTCTCGATGAGCCCGGTGACAGACAAAGGGAAGTGCTGAGTCACTACAGCACACAGCTGGAAGTAACAGAATGCTGCATGTTAAGGACGCTGGAATTAAAAACTTAACAAATACACAGATGGTCTCACTTCATTCTCACAACCACTTCTGCCGTGGGTACTATTATTATCCTCACTTTAAAAATGGGGAAACTGAGGTTTGGAAAGGCTACATGTTTGCCAAGTCACACAGATAGCGAGTGATCTAGAGTCAAGATTCATATCCAAGTACACATCTGTCTCCAGAATCCGTCCTGAGTCGCCATGCTCCCATGCAAGTTGGATGGAGCAACAAGGTAACTAGCCTACATACACACGTTCTTTCTAACTAAATGAAGCAATATAAAGTTTAACTTCATTCTTTATGCTCTTTTCAACTATCACTAATAAATTAGAAAGTTAAAGGGCACCACTCTGGCTGTAAACTTCTACAGCTGCGCAGTGAGGATGAGCTGCGGTGTGCCCAGCAGCTCACAGCTGCCACACCCCCAGTGCAGGAACCCCTTGACTCTAGGGGTTCATGAAAAGGACACCCTTAGATAATCCAAGCTCACAAAGCTATTGTAATTCAAAACAGTATTTTTCAGGGGCGCCTGGGTGGCTCAGTGGGTTAAAGCCTCTGCCTTCAGCTCAGGTCATGATCCCGGGGTTCTGGGATCGCATCGGGCTCTCTGCTCGGCAGGGAGCCTGCTTCCTCCTCTCTCTCTCTGCCTGCCTCTCTGCTTACTTGTAATCTCTCTCTCTGTCAAATAAAATCTTTAAAAAAAAAAAAGTATTTTTCACTTATAAAACAATATACCATAATAGATACATTTAAGTAATGTTTTTTTTTTTTTAAAGGTTTTGGTGGGGGGCAGTAATGTCTATACCCAATGTGGGGCTTGAACTCATGACCCTGAGATCAAGAGTCCCATGCTCTTCTGAGCCTGTCCGGTGCCCCAGCAGTTTTACTTTAAACAACTGGCAAAAGAGGGAAAGGGGAATCAGACATTAATGTATTAAAACTCAGTGATGTTAAAATAAACACGAAATGAGAAAAAAGGAAATGATCTCAATGATAAATATAACTTGATTTATAAACATTTTATTGCAAAAAAATCGACTTAAATCAATTATCAGTTATAAAATAGGACTTGATAAATTAAACATGGCCAATTTTAAAATCAAAGAGGCAAACAAAAAAAAATCCTAAAATGTTATCATGTAAAATTTAAATATGATTTGGCTGCTAAATTAAATACAATACATAATCTGGATTGGCAGGTATACATCAGTGAAAAAGTTAAAAGAAGAAATCATTAAAAATGATACATTACATTTGAAACATTTCATTTTCATTTAAAACAAATAAATACATGAATTCACTAATTTCTGGTGCAGAACCACGTTTTTGTTTGTTTGCTTGTTTTTTGGTAGGAGTTGGCTGATTGGCGTTCTTAAGCAAATCACAACCAAATGCATCTACTACTTTAGAGTTTCCATTTCTTTGAAGAAGAGCAAAAACTTATAGAACAACATCAGTACAGAATCCTGGAGTATGACCCCTGGGTATTTTACAGTTGCCTTCTGCCCTAGTTTAGACAGAAAAAATATAAAGCAAATCTGTTTTTCCTGAATCTTCCCAAAACATTTACCTTAGGTCATAGAAAAACATCTCTCTTCCTTCCCTCATTCATATTTCATGAGTGTATGTAATATTTTAATTACTGTGCACAATGATAATAACAAGGCCACTGGCCTACAGGTCCGAGAACACACACAGTGCCTCCCAGTGAGCGCGTGGTTCCAGGGGGAGAAGCAGCTGCTCCTAGGTCAAGCGCCTTCTGCCCTCCACAGGGTGGCACC